AAAATGTTAAAGTTTTCTTTTCAAATTGTTCCATTATCATAGTATAGTATAACATAATATTTATTATTTAACATATTTACACATTTTACCTTCAAGTTGATCTGTTGAATTTACAATAAAGCATAGTATTATGAGCAAATATACACTTACTGCACAACTAAATAACTTTAAACATAATTTCCTTTTGCTGCCTAAGACATTTGCACAGTGCATGCAGATATTCTCACCTTCAAGTCGATTTGTTAGGACCAGAATTAACAATCCAATCATTCCCTTCATAACTGCAATAATTTTGATTATGGCTATTTTCTGAAGGTCAGGGTGTCTGTGAATCTGCTTCTCAGATCTCTTGTCCTCACTAAGACCTTTCAGGAGGTTGTTAGCTGTATATAATCAGAAACAGGAAACAGAGACAGTGGTGTTTGTGTGTCTGCATCCCTGACACACTGTAAGGTGTGTACTCTCTCTCTCCTACGCTCTGTCACCAATGCTGAATTAGCATTCACTTTAGTTTTCATTTAAAATATATAGTATGTATTTTATTACAGGGCCTCTGCAATATAATTGTGTATATACATACTCATTACAATATTTTGACCTTTCTAGTTTTGTGTCTATGGGTGTTTAAAAATGAAGAAAGAAAAACAAAACTCAGGGCAAATTATACAAAAATAAATAACAAGTAAATGTCAATCTAATGGACAACATGTAACCAACCACAGTGAGGCTGACTGAAGGAACTCTGTTACTAACGGAAACCGATACCCAACCCCCCTCCCCCCATAAAGGTGCGGTTTTATTTCAGCTCCTTATTGTTCAGTGATGTTTTCTCACCGTTTAGTTTCTGTCTGACCTTTAAAGTTAATAACTCACAGTTAATATAAGATGTATTAGCTTGATTCAGATCTTTTTTTCCTTTTGCAATATCTTGCAGTTCCTTTAGAGTAATACAGAGTCACAAAAAGAAGCATATAAGTAATTTAAGAATAGTGTGTGTGCAGGGGGCAGCAGCAGATCAGTGTGTGTGTCTCAGTTTGAGGCCGTGTGACTTCCTCTTTCTTAGAAATCAGCGTAAGAACAGGAGTGAGTGACTGTGCCTTTAAGTCTCTCTGCCTCGCTCCTGTGAGCCTCTTCCACCAGGGTCAATGCGATGCTGCTGTTTCTGTGTACTTGCCTTTGGTTTCTGTTACTGACACGTTTTAGCTCCTATAGCTGTTATAATAACTTTGTGCTGGTGACTGCGAGTGAGGCTTCACACTGTTGAATTGCTCTTTATTATTGTTTTCTAATTGCTGTTTGTGGTCATATGATTCTTACTGCGCTATGTTTGTGTTTTGTAAATTAGTGCTGGTGTTCTACAATGCGATATATCCACTTAAGGAAATTCCTCTGTCACCCCCCTGAAGTTTACCAGAATTTTACATTCCACCTTCAAAATCTGTTTTGTTTTAATTGGCCATTCTGAACAATATCCCAGAAGCCTTTGCTGCCGACTTTCTTTCACCAACTAGCTGAGCCAATCACTTCTCCACAATACCCTGACATGATGACCAGGGCTGGTTACACACAGTATTTTAGGTCTAATTTCTGCCCAGTACCCTGATTTACTTGTGTGACGGATCTTGCATGACGGATTTTGTTTCCCTGTCATTTTTTTTTTTTTAAATCAAGCCTCGCTTGTTTTATGCAATTTTACATCCGAATAAGTGCACAAAAAGGTAGCATTTTATAAAAGTGTACAGGAAATTATGTCAATATTTCTTGTTTTGTTAAAACAATGTTTTTATTAAAAAGCTCAGAAGGAAAAGGGGTCCCATTCAGAAATGGCTGATAGTACAGCATCAGAAGCAGCTGCATCAGGATTCTGCCTCAGTCTGATAGTCTAGTCGAGTGCTGGTGATACACATGACTGCCAGCAGGGGGAGGTCATGCTCCTTGACAAAAAAAGCAGCACCCACAGATTACATACTGTAGCACGAAGAAAAAGAAAAGAAACAGGACACAAACAGCAAGGAGGAACCAAATCTGAATTAATCACAGCAAGTTAACATTTTCAAAACTGATCCCAGGCCAGTGTAGGTCCGATGGCCGCGTGTATGTATCACACAGTCGAACAGTCATCATAGTCCGGTTCAGTGTCGTTCTCTGTCTCAGCCTGGATGGGATCCCCCCTGGGGGTGTCATCTTCTGTCAGCTGGACTGGGGAGCTCCTCCCTTTGGGGTACGCTTGGGGGTAGAAGGCACAGGAATGTAGAAAATTCATAAGTAATCACATGAAATTCTTGAGATCCAGACTGAAAATCTGCTTCTTGCTCTGGGATTAAACCATGCAGAGTGAGCCCCAGCCTGTCGCCCTCTGCTGGCTGGGCTGGGCTCTGCGCCCAATTCGGACTTTTAGCTCCAATTTTCCACTGGCCAACAGTTTTTGGAGATCGCCGATAAAACCCGAGGCCCATCAGCTTTCGATCGCTATGTGTGAACAGTTCAAGATGTGACCCTTACGAGTCACCAATGTGCCAGTTATGTGGCGCCCTAAATATCTAGACCAGGGGTCTTCAACTCTGGACCTCGATTCCAAATCCAGGCTTTGTTTTCAGTTCTCCCAGGTAGTTGTTTAATAATTACTGATTCTGATTGGTCAGAGGCTTCACACCTGACTGACAGGTAAAGGAAGGCTGGAAAACCAGCAGTGCTCGGACCTCGAGGACCGTGAGTTGAATAACCCTGATCTAGACTTTGTTGGTGACAGGTGCGGAACCACAGCCAATGAGAGCACAAGACACGGGGTTTGGTAAAATTCCTTTAGCCCCTTTAGAAAGGTGTTTAAAAGGTGTTAAGAAAGCGTAAAAAGTTCGGGGCACTTAGAAATTGCCTTGTTTCCGAAAGAAAAGCATTAAAAACAAAATCAGGTTAAACAGAAATATAATGTAGACATTGTTAATGTTGTAAATGACTATTGTAGCTGGAATTAGTTGAGTAGGCCTATCTGGAGCATCAGCAATTGTGGATTCGATTAAAGGCATAAAATAGCCAGAAGCAAAGACCGAAGGTATGTGATACCGTTTCCTGAAAGTTCTCAATATACGAGGTGAATTTGTCAGGCGTTTGTAAATGCCGAGCATAAATGTTGTCATTTGATTGCCGTGTTTAACAGCTTGTGGCGCATTGACAGTAGTTTTTTGATTTCCCGGTGTCATTCAAACGCGTGTTTTCGTGACAAAATGTAGTTTGGAGACCAGACGAACTCGTCTGAGATTCTTCCTGGTGAAAGATCTTGTGGTGTGTGACCCCCTGTCTTTGATCAGTCATGCAGTGTGTAAACCAGAACAACTTAAAGACTCCCGATTACGACAATTCGTGTAGCGTGAACAGTACAGCGATCTAACGACTTTGAATGTCATGTAGTGTGGAGTGTGGCTGGCTTAAGCAGTTAGAAGACGGATGGTTATATGGGTTATTTTTTTTTACCTGACAACTTCAGTCTCCAGTAAACATTAAAAGCAGCAAACGATCCCAGCAGAACTGTGATCTCTA